ATCTAAGTTCTTTTTTTTTGGAACTTAGACCCCATATTTTTTTGAGTCTAAGTTCTTTTTTTTGAACTTAGACTCCAGATTTTTTTTTAGTCTAAGTTTTTTTTTTGGAACTTAGACTCCAGATTTTTTTTTGGGTCTAAGTTTTTTTTTGGAACTTAGACCCCATATTTTTTTGAGTCTAAGTTCTTTTTTTTGGAACTTAGACTCCAGATTTTTTTTTAGTCCAAGTTTTTTTTTGGAACTTAGACTCCAGATTTTTTTTGGGGTCTAAGTTTTTTTTTTGGAACTTAGACTCCAGATTTTTTTTGGGGTCTAAGTTTTTTTTGGAACTTAGACTTCATAATTTCTTTGAGTCTAAGTTCATTTTTTTGGAACTTAGACCCCAGATTTTTTTCGAGTCTCAGTCTAAGTTTTTTTTTTGGAACTTAGACTCCAGATTTTTGGAGTCTAAGTTCCAAAAAAAACTTAGACTAAAAAAAAATCTGGAGTCTAAGTTCAAAAAAAAAGAACTTAGACTCAAAAAAATATGAGGTCTAAGTTCCACAAAAATAGATCCCAAAAAAATCCTGAGTCTAAATTCCAAAAAAGTTAGAACTTAGACCCCGAAAAAAAATCCGGAGTCTAAGTTCAAAAAAAAAACAAAAAATTCTGGAGTCTAAGTTCAAAAAAAAAAAAACTTAGATTTAAAAAAATCTGGAGTCTAAGTTCCAAAAAAAAAGAACTTAGACTCAAAAAAATTCTGGAGTGTAAGTTCCAAAAAAAAAAACTTAGATTCAAAAAAATCTGGAGTCTAAGTTCCAAAAAAAAAGAACTTAGACTCAAAAAAAATCCGGAGTCTAAGTTCCAAAAAAATGAACTTAGACTCAAAGAAATTATGGAGTGTAAGTTCCAAAAAAAAAGAACTTAGATTCAAAAAAATCTGGAGTCTAAGTTAGATTCAACAAAATTCTGGAATCTAAGTTCCAAAAAAAAAGACCTTAGACTCAAAAAAAATCTGGAGTGTAAGTTCCAAAAAAAAGAACTTAGACTTAGACTCAAAAAAAATCTGGAGTCTAAGTTCCAAAAAAATAGAACTTAGATTTAAAAAAATCTGGAGTCTAAGTTCCAAAAAAAAAGAACTTAGACTCAAAAAAATTCTGGAGTGTAAGTTCCAAAAAAAAACTTAGTTTCAAAAAAATCTGGAGTCTAAGTTCCAAAAAAAAGAACTTAGACTCAAAAAAAATCCGGAGTCTAAGTTCCAAAAAAATGAACTTAGACTCAAAGAAATTATGGAGTGTAAGTTCCAAAAAAAAAGAACTTAGATTCAAAAAAATCTGGAGTCTAAGTTAGATTCAACAAAATTCTGGAATCTAAGTTCCAAAAAAAAAGACCTTAGACTCAAAAAAAATCTGGAGTGTAAGTTCAAAAAAAAAAGAACTTAGACTTAGACTCAAAAAAAATCTAGAGTCTAAGTTCCCAAAAAATAGAACTTAGACTCAAAGAATGCAGTTGGAAATCCTAAACCCTAAACTCTTAGGTTTGATCTGCTGCGATGCAGTTGGAAATCCTAAACCCTAAGCTCTTAGGTTTGATCTGCGGCAATGCAGTTGGAAATCCTAAACCCTAAACTCTTAGGTTTGATCTGCGGCAATGCAGTTGGAAATCCTAAACCCTAAACTCTCAGGTTTGATCTGCGGAAATGCAGTTGGAAATCCTAAACCCTAAACTCTTAGGAAAGATCTGCTGCAATGCAGTTGGAAATCCTAAACCCTAAATAAACTCTTAGGTTTGATTTGCAGCAATGCATTTGGAAATCCTAAACCCTAAACTCTTAGGTTTGATCTGCGGCAATGCAGTTGGAAATCCTAAACCCTAAACTCTTAGGAATGATCTGCTGCAATGCAGTTGGAAATCCTAAACCCTAAACTCTTAGGTTTGATCTGCGGCAATGCAGTTGGAAATCCTAAACCCTAAACTCTTAGGTTTGATCTGCGGCAATGCAGTTGGAAATCCTAGGCCCTAAACTGTTAGTGAGGTTTGATCTGCTGCAATGCAGTTGGAAATCCTAAACCCTAAACTCTTAGGTTTGATCTGCGGGAATGCAGTTGGAAATCTTAAACCCTAAACTCTTAGGTTTGATCTGCGGCAATGCAATTGGAAATCCTAAACCCTAAACTCTTAGGTTTGATCTGCGGCAATGCAGTTGGAAATCCTAAACCCTAAACTCTTAGGTTTGCTGCAATGCAGTTGGAAATCCTAAACCCTAAACTCTTAGGTTTGATCTGCGGCAATGCAGTTGGAAATCCTAAACCCTAAACTCTTAGGTTTGATCTGCGGCAATGCAGTTGGAAATCCTAAACCCTAAACTCTTTGGAATTATCTGCGGCAATACATTTGGATCTTGGCACACAAAATATTTATATGTTCAACCTCTTTTGGCTTTATTTCAATGGTTTTTCCCTTTGCTGTGTAAATTGTTTGGGCCAGTAACACATGATTTTGCCATGGTCACATGCCTGCTCTGGTTGAGGTTTGGTTTTTTGTCTGTTTCCCTTGTTTTTCCTCTATTTCCTTTCTGAAAGCTTTCTCCCCCTGACCCACGAAATTTAACAGCCGGCGGCAGTTGTTCACAATGGCGAACGGAGATACGCTGCAGTGAAAAGGCGAACAGGTGGTCACCACCGTAGGACCTATGAGTAGAAAGGATGGCCGGAAAAGAATGGAAACTATTTTATCCCCCTTGACTGTACCTGTATGGAATGGAAGAACCCATGCCCCGTATGAAATGGAAAAACCAACATCATTTCATACACGGCCCATCTTGGAAAACGGGGCAAAAAAAACCTTAAATTTTGGTACCATGTTGCACCCCTCCATTTCACACAAAACGATGGTAATTCCATTACATACAGCTGCATTTTTCTTTGGAATCATTAGTCCCAAAATCGGCATTTCCATAATATAAATGTTGTTTGCTATTTTTTGGAAGGTTCCAGTTTGAACACTTACGGAAACTTGGAGATCTGTTAATCAAATGGAAGTTTCTTTCAGCGATCGATGTCTTGAAAATGAACCACTGAATGTTTGAAAAGTGATTGTGGATAAAACATACAAAAAACATATATATATATATGTATATAAGATTGTGGATAATAACCACAAATAACCCACATAACCCATAAAACAACATATAACCCATATAACCACATGGAATAATCATGAAAAGTCTACTATTTGAAACACGAAATACAGAAACAATAGAAGAATATCCATTTTATACACCGAAATGTGGGGTAAACATATATGGAAGACGTTCCATTTCATACAAGGGGAATTTCACAAACACCTATGTTGTTTATAAAATGGATCGTTCTGGTATGTTAACGTGTCCGAACATAAACAATAATTTTATCTTAAAATATCTTAAGATACCTTAAAATGACCCCCTCAAAAAACAACCAATTCCATAATATACAAGTCAAATTTTCTTGGTTTCAAGAGTTCATTTTTTTGCCATTTCCATAACATACTGGCGAAGCATTTCTTTGCATATCCGGCCTGCTAGGTAGTACAATGGTGGTATTCCATAATATACAAGCCCAAAAAAGGATCCATTCTATACAAATATACCTGTACCCAACCATTACATAAACCAGGTTTTTATGGAATGGTGGGGCACGGGTTCCTACCCATCAATCAAGGGGGATACTATTTTAGCAGTTCCACTTTGGTCAACAACATGGATTACCTCAACAATGTGACCAAGGATGAAAGGGTTCTCAGAGCAGCCGGACAAGATGAATTGAGGAAGTTGAACGAAGTCCATCGAACTCTTAAGCCCAGAACCAGGAGAGAATTGAGCAAAGAGTTCGCACAAGTAGGTCGACAAAATCGCCGAAGGAATCGCAAAATCTCGTTTGACGTGCCAGGATTTCAAAACAAAAAACCAAAGTGAGAAGACAACGACATACAAAGACAGTTCGGGAACACCCAGCCAGTTCTGTCCTAGTCCACACGAAGCATCGAAATTGATGGTGGAGGTATACAGTTTGCAGCACGACATGCCAAGGGTGAAAGCGGATTTTTCCCTGGCATTCCTGATTGCAAAGAACCAGGGAGACAGCAAAGGCCAACCAGTCATGATGAAGCCTCCGCAAGAACGGTTGGAGGGCTACGATGTTTGGCTAGCTTTCTTTTGTGCCTCCAAACCAATCACACCATGATACAAGACATTGCCATCCCCGTGCACCCCGCGTGCATACCCGAATGCAAACGCAGCATTGAGCAAGTCATCCCTTGGTCGTCCCGTGGATGCGCTGTCTAATGTGAACGTAACAGGCTTCGAGCGTATACTGACACAAAATTTAAAGCCTATGCCCGAATAATGTTGCAGTTAGATTGTGTTTTAATCGTCCAAACTGTTTCCACATTAGGAAATTTTATATAAATGCGGTTCCCCAGGTAGACGTGGGAAACTCCCAACAACGAACCTGTTGTGCTTCAATCATTTGGGCGGGGTGTGGTGCCTGGAAGAATGCAGCCCTGGAACCTTGGAACCATGGAACCTTGAAACCCTGAATCTTGAAACCCTGCGACCTTGCAAAATTGCGTCGGCCGCCTGTCACTCTCACGGTTGCATACTTCAGTTGGAACATGGCTCTGGGACATCATTCCTAGGAGGGGTGGGCGATGACCAGTTTGATGCATGAGACGACTGTATGGAATGGCCGTTTTGCCAAGACAACATGTTCGCAATGTTTTGTTCAAATACGGTCAAAAGGTATCAAAACAATGTACTGCATGTTATGATTGCGAGCCATTTGCAAATCTTGCAACATCTCCTTTTCATCCACTTTCACAATGTTCACTTTTCTTGGCACTATCGCAGATTGTGGAGCAAAATTGTTGAAAAATACATGTTATTGTATAAAATTGCGTCTAGTATGATCCCGGCTGCCGCGTTTTTTTGCGAATGGTAATCCGGCACGTTCAGTCCAACAGAATCAATGCAAACCCAGAAGATGGCTACACCAGTTAGTGCGGCGAAGGAATTCATATCTGGACCACGGGTGGTTCAGGCGCAATTTGTTTTGAACCTGGTTTGAATGATTTTGACTTGGCTGGGATTGATTGGGCATCGTTTAGTGCCAGGCCGCCAGTAAACTCTTGGAAACATGTCCGCTACCGCAACTCTGCGAGGCCACGCTTGCAACGGTGTGCTCAAGCATCAATGCTAGGGCAAGAACAAGTGCCGGTGTTGCTTCCGGTAGGATTTTGTAAAGCAACCCGTTTATCATCACGTGAAACATCCGTTTTTTTCGTGCATCTTGAGTTTCCCCATTGAAAACCAAGGGTGTTTGTTTTTGCAGTTGATTTTTGGAGGCACTAACCGTTGCAAAGGGAGAAGACGCAGAGTTGCAATCTCAGCACTTGTGCGGACGAGTTTTTGGGTGTTTTTATAAAAATATCTTGGAGGACCATGATTCAGGTTATTTTTTGCAGGCACCAATCATTTTCGCAGTTTATTGTGGTTTCTTCAAAGAATGGATGCGTTTAGACCCATGCAAATAAAATAAAATGTTTATGTTTGCCCTGCTCATCTCACATCAAGAGTTTTGCAAAAATCTGAAATAATTTCTTGTCAAGGCCACTTGTGGCAGCGCTGGAGGGCCTTAGCGAAATTGAGGAGGCATCTTGAAGCAGCCTTCCTTCATGATTTTTCTTCGATTGCGGAGCAGGATAGTACTTGACATATTAAAACTATATTAAACTCATTGAATGTTGGCATCGTTTGTTGCCTTAGGCTATGAAAGCGTAATTTGCAACACATGGGAAGCTCCTTGAGGTCAGCAGAGATGAACCATGTGCTGTCTATTGTTCCAAACCCATGGGTTAAAAGGTAAAAATATCACGTTCAGTTCATAACCGTCATGAACCAAATCGACTGTACGGGGTCACGTGGTGATGTATTTCAAGCTGGACAGGTGCGGACATTGTTCTTGGAGGAGGGCGTCACAGATTTCCTCACCCAAGGCGCTTCTGCACCAGATGCACGCGCGTGGAACTTAGTTTCACTGATTTGGTTTTGCGCACAGGTATCAACATTATCAACCATTGGATTCGCCTGACCAGGGTCACATCCCCCCTTTCATGATTGTGTTTTGACACGTCGTGGTATTTACCCCAGCCGATGCTAATTTGTTCAGTCAAAATCATCGGTTTCAATCTCCTTTATGGATCCGAGTTGCGGCTCACGGTGGCAAAACTTTTGGTACACTTAGCGCACGGAGAGGTGTGGAGCATCGTGGGGGGGCCAACTCAAAAGCCGTCATGCCATGATTTGGGTGGCAGATGTAACAGTTCGGTACAAAGATAAATGTCATTCAACCAGATTAAAGCCTTTGCCTTTGCTCATTTGAATGATGTGCTTCGCTAACCGTCATCAATATTTTGCACAGATGATATGATAATAATATATACAATATTTATAATTATACGTACGTATCGTACGTTGCATTGTTATCATACAACCAGGCATTGATCAGATACATGCCCAGTTCCATTAATAGAAAACCGGATGGATTTGAACATTTGACTCAGCATCAGCGCGGAAGCAAGCGCTGGAAGGCATCAACGAACAAATTGCTCGATGCGGGCCTCTTCAATCTATGCTCAATCCTTAGACAGCTCCCTTTTGACAAAGCTGCTGATACAGGATAAGTAAATAGGCTCCAATGGGTTTCCAAATTTTTCCAAACTATTAAACTAAGGCCACACGAATCTTGATAAGAGTTTCTTGGGTCGGTTCCTTGTTATTGTTCTATTGCCTTTGCTGAGCATTTACGAATTTACACATCATTTCTGTCATACATTCACCACACACGCATCACTTTGTGAAAGCCACAGGCAAACCACCAGGCAAACAGCAGGGTTTTCACAGTATACAAACGTGCCGCTTATAGGTGAGCCCCTGCTCTTGGATGACGAGACTGGTGTGGCTGAGACTGCGGCCAAAGCTGCCAGGGCATCTCAGAGAGTCTCAGGTCAGTTGCCTGGAGGGCGATGGGTCGCTTTGGTTCAGATTTTGGGCGCCGCTTGCAACTCCAACTATAGGGACCTGAATACATGAAGACTAATCTATGGTTTGACTTTTGCCTTCTCGCGCTAGCCACATCGATCTCGTATTGCAAGCTCAGGCACTGTGACACACAGCAAGTTGACATGATTGGCAACGTAAGTGCAAGTGAAGTAGCGTGTGTGACACACTGCAAACGCAAACAAAATCAAGAAAACATCTATATAATAGCGCAGCATGAAGTTTGTGTGCAAGTGCAAGTGAACGTCCAGTAAAGGGTAGCATATGGTAGCATGAAGTCTGTGTGCAAGTGCAAGTGACGTCCAGTATAGCATAGCATGAAGGTTTGCAAATGTCAGTGCACGTCAACATTCCACCCCACCCTACCCCATCCCTTGTTCAACATGTTTGTGTGCCATCATGTGCCATCCTTGGTGCCAATGAACGCGAACCTCTCACCTCACCCACCCCAACCTTTGTTTGGATCGAAAAAGTGCTCGAGTCGCAAGTGACCGCTTTTCCGCGACGCAGAGGCGAAAGTGACCGCTTTTCTCAGCCGCAAGTCTATTTTTTGCATTTTTTGCTATATTGAACCGAACATGGACCACTCTGGACGTCCCTACGGCATTTGAGGGGCGTTGTCATTAAAAGAATTCGCGCGTGTTCTGTTGATCAGGTTTTCAGTCGCATTCAGCAAGTGATTTCATCCGTACTGGACCATATCCAGATCATACATCCTTTGCAAAAGTAACCTTCAGAACCCAATGAAAAACGACACTTTTTTGGTAGTGTAGTGGCGCGTAATGATTCCACAGAAGTAGACTGAGTGTGCGAACCTTAGGAACAAGTGCCGGAGTTGAAAGTCGAATCCTGGAGAAAAACCCTGGTGGATTGATCGCAAAATGGCGGGAGATACTGTACACTTAAACCGTACCTGTATATACCTGTACGTCCTTGACGGTACGGAATCGCTGGATCCTGAGGTGTGTGCTGGAGTCGGTTGCGCTGCTGGAAAGCAGGCGTTCCAACGAACCACACAGGATCACTAATATCACTAACTAGGAAGTCCTTGCGGAAAATCAGCACTTCAGCCTTGGGCGCTGTAGCATCCTGCCCATCAAAACCATGTTTGCCTTCAGTGTGCTCTTTGATTCTTATTGAATATTTTTCTTACAGGTATTGTAGCCTGCAGCAATTCCACAGCAGCAAGGAATAGCAGTTCCAGGATGCTCCAGGATGTTCCAGGATTGTATGGATCCGTTTCCAGGACCCATGTCCCACAACTCGGTTTGTTCAGCCCTGCTGGACCCAGGCATTGTTGTCTTCTCCGGGCAGTTTGACGGCCTTCCCGGCAGAATTTGCATCCATGAACTGCTGGCATGGGCGTAGGATTGTGGTGTCATTTGACGTTTGTCAGAAACGTTATCGTAAGATATCGTAAGTCTTTCAAGATGTGTCAAGATGGCCTGGCCCAGTTTTTGAAGCGCGTTTGTTGCATTTTTTTGGTTTATGACTGGCCATGGATTGTGAACAGGCCCATGTCGCAATAGGCTACCAGCAGGTGAATCCTTTAAGTGTTGTAGGTGTCGCATGGTGTCGCGCATGGTCGGTTCAAGCGCAGCACTTTTTGGCCGCAAGGATGTTTTGCTCCGGAGACTTCCCAGCTTACCAGACGTGAGCCTAAGCAGAAATCGCCAGTGTCGAAAAAGGCTGAGGTCTGAAGATGTCTCAAAATGATTCAAAATGTTTGAATTGAAGATGTTTGAAGATGTTTGAAGATGTTTGAAGATTGGTTTGGCATTCCTTTTGTGTATTTGAAATGCAAGCTGTACACACAGAGGTTCTTGGGGTTTCCAGGAAATATAGCACTGGCCTGGGTGTTCCATTACCCAGGGGTTGTTTTGGCATATGGGTGTTTCGTACACAAGGTGTTTCCTCAAATCATCTGAAAGCACCCAAAGTTCAACTATCGTTAGTATTGAAACCGGTTTGCTGGGATGGTCTAGGGTATTTTAGGGTGCCCCCATGTGCAAAATACAATGAAATACCAAGATATGTTGTCATTCTCCTGCTATGAGATGTGTCTGGGTCGGATTTCGAGGTACAGCGGATTCGAGTCCTGGCGTTGTTTGTGCAGCTGGGTCGTGCTGGAACTGAATGTTTTTCTTCGTATCTTGGCGCAAGATGAAGATGCACTATGAATGTGCAAGCATCCTCGAAAATCATGAAACAGACATTTAGAATTAACTAAGTATATAAATGCTGATTTGATCACGAAAGCTAGCTTCTGCTAGCTGAAGTCCCTCTTGCTTTAGCAAGCTATTGGGGGGATGGAATCACCAATCGCGAGGAACTTCTCAGTTAACTACCCCCTCCCCCTCCCCCCCCTCTCCTTTCACAAACAGTTTGGTCGTGGGATGTCGTGGGCTCAACCCCTCCCGGGACACGGTCAGTAACGGTCAGTAACAGCACCGGCACGATCACTGATATCCACCCTCTACACTTTGTACTCTCGAGTCCACACTTTACACGCTAAACTTTACACATACTTTACACTCCGCATCTTACACGCTACGCTCCACATTCGACATGTTACACTTACCTGTTAACTCACTTTACACTCCACACTTTACTCGCTAAACTTTACACTCCATACTTTACACTCTAAACTTTACGCTTCACACTTTACACTTCGCACTCCGCAGTCCACACTTTACACCCACACTGTACACTTGGCACTCCACACTCTACGTTTACACGTGGGACTCGCACTTTAATCTGTGCGCTTTCGCACTTTACACTTTAAACTTCACGTTGGACCCCCACAACTTTGCCTTTTTCACACTTGACGCTGTATGGAACCTTGGCCTTGCTCCATTTTCATGTTGCATGCGCACATCTACCTGTCGTCCTGAACTTTCCCCGCTCGCTGCGTTACTTCTTCCCACGCTTCCAAAGGTCCACTCCGGTGCCGACAGTGGACCTTTCAATTTTCCCCTAAACACTGTGCACTCTGCACTCCGCATTTTACACTCCACACTTTAGACTCTAAAATTACACCCCACACTTTACACGCCACACTCCACGCTCAACAGCTTACACTTAACTTTTAACGTACTGCACACGCCACAGTTTACACTCTAAACTTTACACTTGACACTTTACATTCCAATGTTTATCACACTTTACACCCCACACTCTACACTTGACACTTCGCACTCTACACTTGGCACTCCACACTTTACTTTTTACACATTGCACTCACACTTCAAGGTTTACGCTTTCACACTTTCCACTATACACTTGACTTTAGACCCCACAACTTTGCCTTTTTCACACTTGACGCTGTATGGAACCTTGGCCTAGCTCCATTGTCATGTTGCGTGCGCACATCTACCTCTCGTCGTAAACTGTCGCCTCGCACTGCGTGACGTCTTCCCGCGCTTCCAAAGGTTTACTCCGGTGCCGAAGGCGGACCTTTGAATTTTCCCGACTCAGTTGTCATGATCTTGTCTATGCTGATTGTCTTCATTTGCTTCGTGCAACAGTAGACAACAATCATAATAATCATATGTTCTCAAAAATTGTGTTTACACTTGCGCTACCTTCTGTGTTTCATGCCCATCACCCTGCCAAGCTAGCTTTCGTCCCTTACTGTACCCCTTGCCCTGGATACATTTCTGCTTCTGGAGCGTATTTTCTCAAATGAGCGTAGTCGCACCACTCTTGGCATATTTCCACTTCGCGCGCTTTGACGAAAAAAATATGAAGGTATTTTCCTGGGAAATTAGAGACAAATTCCTTTCCGCCAGGACACAAATGCGCTCTTCTTAGTTCAAGTGAGCATTAAAGATTGGAATGATCATAAATTTATATAACCAACAATCCATGAGCAGAAAAAATGCTGATTGAAGACCAATATTGATCAATATTGTATATATATATATTATATTATATTCACATATACTATATATATATATTATATATACATATAATTATATATGTGTGTGTGTTACACGTTAGTGCATTTTACATATGGCATCATTTTGACCCTTAAGATATATCCAGGAAATCATGACTGCAATCAAGGAAAATCTCAGGTGAGGAGGTGGTTCAATTGAGTCATGGATTATATATGTCTTGATGCTTCAAGACTGTGCGCTGCTGAAACATGGCTAAACACGGTCAATGCCCAGTGAGTGGCGACATCAGAGTCGTTCAGTCACCTGGTGAGGTTAGAACAGAAAGGAGCCTTTGAGAAGGCGACGATGTGTCTGTGAGTTGTGTGAATGCCAGATGCCAAGACAGACATAATTATGATACAATAATATATAATTATGATATATTATGAGGAAATATGATGATTCCACTTGTTTCACTGTGCATGTTCCACATCATGTTCACTTACATTTATCATCATTTCCGTTCTTAACTTTCTCATGATATGTTTGTAGGACGTGGATTCATTTTTTTGGCCGGAGGTTCTCGGTTCATTCTTGACCGACGACTTGCTGCTAAAGCTTAATGCTGTCGAGTTGATGGACGCGTTTGGAGCCCTGCGGGGCCCCACTTAACATGGCTTGATGGGCATCATGGGCTATGACTTCCCCCTGGCACATGATCAGCATTCTGACGGTGGAAGATTACAGTCGATCCAGCTTGGTAGTGTTTTAAAAAACAAATTACAATTAGGAGTTAATGGCAGTAATTAGCGAGATTCAGCTACAACCTGCGCAATCACCGATCTACAGACAATATAAAAATAACGAGTGTGGCTATGCCTATGGATAAGGATTGGACAAGCACGGATAGAAATCTCACCAATCAAGTGTTGTTCTGTTCTGTTCTGTTCACGTAACCCTGCACACCTTCCACTGCCAGTCCGTTGCAGATACGTGTTCAGCTGGGGTCATTCCTGGTAGTCTTGTGGCCCAAGTGGCCTGAGTGCTTAGCGACTTCTCAGCTGCGTAGGTTTGCGCCATGCACTCGCCCCTCTCCAGTTGCGATTCTGTATGGCGCAGCATGGCCCTGCGAACCGACACGGCTCTTGAAGTACGATCAGATCTTTACGACAGAGGCACCGCTGGATGGCAGCAATCATACACCACGCCTGATATGTCTCGAGATGTCTAGGAATGCAGAGGTGCTAACAACCGGGTACACTTCACTGATGGCTGGGGTAGTTGTAGGCAAACATGTCTAGGGAGCTTGAAATCATCAGTCAGGAGATCCCAGCCAGAACTATAAGTTGGTGCATAGTTGATGCAATTCCGATTTGAAGCTATGGATGTTGCCCACACTAAGGGGTGAGCTCCATGGATGATTTTACATCGGCATTCCTCAAAACATTCAGCCACATTTGGCCTGTCCTATTCGTTGACCAGCCCCATACACTCAGTGCTTCCATTTGTTGGGATCCAGTCTCGTCCACAAGTACCAACGCGGATGTTGCATCCAATTCATCAACTTCCATCAACTGCCCACATTGTCACCTGGAGAGCTTGCTGGCCTAGTGGCCTCAAGTTGATCGACGGATTAATATAAGATATAAGCAAATCAAGTGTAAATAAGATATGTATAGATATGTTTGTAAAGATGTAAAGGAGCGACTTTGTGTTGTCATCTCCGCCTGTTTTGGCTGAATCCAATTTTATATTTTTACTTTTTGTTTGATATGTTTTGTTGATTTTTCATGATTTTTCTATATTTGATCTCCTTTTTGGTGCTGCCCGGCAGGCAACATCAGTCGCCTCAAGGAGTTCTACATCCGCCGGCTTTCGCAGAACGACGGGGTGGCGCCCGCTATGGCGCGGCTCCGACAGAGTCGGTCGCCTCGCTCCAACTTTGGCAGTCCACGAACGAGCCCAAGACAGACACCCAGGTGCCAACTAGGTTGCTATGATTTGCATGTTGGCAAGAAAAGGTTTGCCAACATGTTTCCTGCTATGTTGATCTATGTTGTATCTTCTTGTAATTGTTTGTCTCATTTTCACTCTTTTTCACTCTTGTCACGAAAGTGCCCGCCACAACAATGAAGAGAGAGAGAGAGAGCAACAAGAACATGTTGACCGTCTGCAGTGTTGCACATCCCGAACGCATGGTTTCAATATTGGTTCCAGCGGTGCTGCGGCTTGCAGGAACTCAGAAGTGGAAAGTCCCGAATCCATCTATGAGAAGTATGTGACTGGCAAGGTGCTGCTGTCCAGTTCACTGGGCAGGATGGGTAGGGCTGCCAACTAAACCACTGAACAAGGACACATATTGAAGTCCGTGGGGGCGATTTTTTTCCATCTTTTTCCTAGAACTTCAGCCTATCATTTGCGCCCTTGTTTTGCAAAGTTGAGTTCAGAACAAGCTCTTGCAGACTGGACAATAGACCCGCCACGAAGGGCGTCTTTTTAGGACAGTTGCTGCTTGTGACTGTGCTCCTGAGACAGAGAGAGAGAGAGAGACACCCCGCGCTGAGAGCAGCACGGAGCAGTTTTTGTCTTGCATGTATACCAGCGTAAGCTGGCAGACTGCAGAACAAAATATGCAAATCAGATTGGGATGTTTGATGTCAAGGCCAGCTTGCCAACGTGGCCACCACCAGTGGGAAATACAAACGGGTTCCGGGGCCTAAGTTGCAAAAGAACACCAGCTCTGTTCAGTTGCAGGTGGTTGGTGGCAGGAGGTAAATTGCTACTCGATCTACTCGCATGAGGCAGTTCAGACTATGCGTCAATATTCTGCAGGTGTTGCTATGCCATGCCTGCTGGTGATTCCATATAGGTTCTCCGTTTTGTTATGTTTTTTTTTAAGCTTGCGTGTTGGGTTGTTATTAACGGGTCGTGAACAATATATTCGAAATGTCTTGGCTTCCAAAAAACATGCAAAGATTTGCAGCGGCGGCTCATGGGCACATTGTGTCAGTGCCAATTTGACATGTGATTGCAGTCTGTGCTGCGCTGTATGAATGTGCATGGTTTCTTGCATGTGCATGACTGCGGCGGAACCTATTTCGTTATAATATGTGATCCTTGTGTTTTTATATCTTTGTGAAGCAGCTACAGGATCAAAACGCCACAGCCGTTTTTGAGGTGCGGACAGCGGTCAAAATTTATCTCATCTCGCCATACAAAGTTTCCAGTTTCCTCTCAATGTGGTGGCCCTGGATGGCCCTGGATTTGGCAGACAATCCTGAGGTTGTCAAAAGTAGCGCCACGCATCGAGATGCTGAATGCCAAGCTCATTAGTTTACGAGCAGCATTGGAAAGCAGGACGGATGCAACAGTCAAGGATCCCTTTGACACATTACTTACAGTAAATGATAATCATCTATAAACAGTCATTCATATTCATTCATTATAAATATTTACAAAATTATAAATACGTATAATTTCTATATATATATAATCAGTTATAAGCAACATTCCTTGAGCAATCACCAACTGTCCAGATCATCCAGAGCCATCGCCACAGGATCTTAGATGGGAGCAGCCAGAGCAACGTCCTCCGGCACTTGACCCAACTGAGGCCAGATCAGCGTTGTGAGCGATTCTCCGTCACCCTACCAGCCCTATATAGTACCCATTGTTTACCCATTGTTTCAAGATGTTTCAAGGACGGAAAGTGGCTAACAAATGCTAACCAGACATTGAGAAGACTTGGAATGATGAGAACATTTTGGGGAGCTGCTGAGCGCTGTTTTTTTTTGGGCGTCCAGTTGCAACAACTTCAAGTTCGCAATTGTGGTTGTAAATTTGCAAATTCTCACTCCCAAGTAATTAGCCCAAACTGGTGCCAGCAGATACCATCTGTTTAGGCGCAGCATGCGCCAGGTATCACCTGGACAGCGCCTTGAAATGGGGTCCAGACGCAGCTGATCTCGGCGCAATTAGCGAACACACCATCCAGCAGGCCTCACATCATTACAACGGTTTTGGCAAAGATCGGGCTTCATGGCCCTCATACAATTAACATCAATTAACAATATATTTGACAATAATTAACAAAGATGACAGAGGCAGACAGGCAGACTTGAAAAGAATGCAAGCTTGGCTGTTTCTCCTGGTGAAGACTTGAGTGATTAGCTGACTAGCTCGTTTGAACACATTAAGCGTTTGCAAACCGTTTGCCAGTGACATATTTTGACTACGTTTCTTGTCATCGTTTCTTATCCTTCTCGGCTGTGTATTTGTTCCATTTGTTCCTCCTTCAGGTGCAACAACTTGCAAGCACAGCCCGGGTCCTCGCACCCGGCGTGTATTTGTTCTCAAAAAGGGCGGAGAACATTCTTATTCAGAAGGAAGCGGTGGGTGTTTGGGCTTTTAGCTGTGATGCAGTCCAACTCATCAAAAAGTTCAGTAGGACAGTATAGAAGAAGTCAGAGTGTTACATTGCCTTATGGATAACTTTTGGTTTGTATGGCACTCTCCGCTGCTTGTGAATGTTTGTGATGTCGTGCTCCTGACAAACCCCTGCACGGGTGTTGGACTGCCACAAGTTGGAACATGTTGGAACTATGGGTGAGGATGTTTTTTCCCCCAGATTCTTGAGACCTGCTGGGCTACTTCAATTGCACTGTTGCAGTCAGACAGGAACGTGCTTTGAAGAAGGCAGCGCAAGTTCTCTTCGAGGATCAGCGAAAATCTTACAATTCAGCAACTTGGCATGAAGAGCTGGCTACTGTAGCCGAAGCTACAGCAGGAGGATCTAATGGCTCAGGAGATATCATGAGATTCTTATGAGATTCTTTCCATTTCTTTCCCATGATGTCATGATGGTTTCGGAATGCTTTTGGAGACCCTGACCTGGATGACGTTGCATTGATCTTTGCCATAGCTTCGTTCGATTGATAATTGATATACATATTTTAATTAACATGTTTCAATCATTCATGCATTTGTCCTTTTGCTGGGCTGAGCCTGGCCATTTTCGCGCCCAAAGGACTTCAAAGGAGACATGAGAATCCCGACCTCAAGGCTCAGCAAGGCCAGGTGTCATGCAGTGCATTGTTTTTTTTCTCCCAGGTTTTTTCTACATCAAATTCTGCCATAGTTGGAAGCTTCAGAAAGCACCCTGCTAGCATCGCCATGTGATACTTACTATTTGATATTCATCTGATTGGATACACCGGTAGGTGCCTCAAGTAAAACGATGTGGAAAAAACTATGAATCGAACCGCTTTGGGGTTTCCAGGCAGAATCCACTGTGGTGAGCGAGCTCGACTCTGAATGCGGGACCATGTATGCTGACACCGTAATCACCTGTCCTGCAGACGTTGGAAATGCTCCTTGGAACGCCGCTGCGATGTTTGTAGAGGTGAGATAGGTGAGCAATGGTGAGCATATAATGCGTTGAGGTTGCAACCAAACAAGTTACTGTGACCCCATGATTTCCAAAGGCGATGTAGACATTTAGAACACTTTAGCATCTATAATATTCTATAATATTCTACAATATTCTACAATATTCTATAATATTCTATAATATTCTATAATATTCTACGATATTCTATAATATTCTACAATATTCTATAATATTCTATAATATTCTATAATATTCTATAGTATTCTATAATATTCTATAATATCCTATAATATTCTATAATATTCTATAATATTCTATAATATTCTATGGCACCAATGGCACCTACCAGGGTGCTAAGCCCTGCCCAGTAGCTAGGGTCCGTGTATGACCAAGCTGAGGTTCAAGATGTCAATGACTATTTAGCACTGAAGAGTGAGGAGCCACAATCCCACCCAGTGCTAACCTCTTGCTTTCTCTAGGGTGACTTTGATATGGACCGCCCATGTATGATACGTATGCATCATGCCCAAGGAGGTCAGTGAGCCAGTTCTAGGTCATTCTGAAGTCATTCTGAGTCAACAAGAGGATGTCCTCAACTTGTGTGATGCTCACTCAGCTTGTCTTTGATTCGATCGCTCCTAGCCTCCAGTCATTGAAGCATTTCTAAGCATTTGCCACGACGTACCCAGACAGTCACAACGTCACAACATACTCACAACCTCACAACCTTTGACTTAGTGATGTGGGTATGGGTAAAAATTGGGTACCCCAATAATTGGATGGTGAATACTAAACTAGACATTCACATCTGTGGTCCCCTTAACGGTCTTCCATTTTGACCCACATCCAAGACGATATCTCCAGGATCAACAGCGCCGATGGTTCTATTCTCAGTGTTTGGCGGCCAAACTGGTGACTTGGCTTTGGAGGATGCATGTCCTTTGCGTTACCCTCTGGTGAACTAACATAGCAATTGAAAATGGTCATTTATAGTGGATTTTCCCATTGAAAATGGTGATTTTCCATTGCTATGTTAGTTCACCAGAGGGTATATGATATGTTGCTTATTTCCATGATAGCCTTAAATGGAAAACACCGAGTTGATGGAAACAAACGGAAATAAACAGAAACAATCAAAACCAAAAAGCATATCGCGGCCGAGGAAGGGCAATTGAAGGCAGTAAAGCTCCAACAGAACCACACAAAAACCAATCAAAATCAGGATCTCAACCCCCTCAAGCGGCCAGGATCCACCCGGGCAACGAGAGTTTCGGGCATCTTCCAAGAACAGATGCCCAATATCCATCACTACTTGTATCCATCAATATCATCAATATCAAATAATGTCTGCAATAATTATCCAGGATACAATCAATATTCGATCAATATAAATCAATCATTATCAATCAATAAATATCAATACAACAGTAACCGAAGAATTGGCCCAATTCGTCGACTTGTTATGACTTGTTGTCCCCTGAAGACTCCAGTCAGTTCCCATCGCAGGTCACCTCGGATCAAGCTCGAGCTCGAAAGATTCTCATTAGCGATCTCTACGCGAAGGTGAAGGTAACGAATGTCGCAGTGCGACCAAGGGATTTTGCAGTGGGATTTTGGATGCGTCCAAGGGAGAAGGTCGCTGGTGATTTGTTTGATTAAGAATATTGAAGAATAATAATGAATGGGTTCTTTTTTGGCATCTTGTTTAGTGGGGATATTGACGGGGATATGATGGGGGCTTATAACGCGAAAGTAACTGTGTGAAATGGGTCCGACACCTTACCGTTACGGTGACATGCTCGCTTCTGTTTTTGATGTTGCAGTGAATTGAGGTTGTTGTTTCCTGTTTGTTGATGCCTGCACTGCGTGTCTCCACAGTTGACATTACAATGTTTTGCATGTTGCTGCCAGTTGTTGTGTATCTATTTTGACGGCGTTGCCTCCAATCATGGCAGAAACCAGCGGAAAGCTTCCATACAACAATACGTCATAAGCAAGTCCCTCGTGTTTCAATCCCTCCACATGGCATGGAAGGTTCACTAAGGTTCATCATTTGAAACAAGTCTAGCTTGGTGTCCACACCTTCCATGTCCTATGTTGAATTTCGGACAGCTGTGGCAGGCTTCAGGGATTCCCATCACGAACTGGATGATGTTCATTCAGGAGCAGTTAATGCTTGGCCGCGGCATTCCAGTCCCCACGGATATTCGTTGAGTCACCTTTGGACCTTTGGAAGCGGCCGGTAGCAGCAGCATTTGCCACACAGAGATGTGGTCGAAAACATTGAGAAACATGGTTTCTAAATGTTTGGAAAGCTTTAGAAATTACTCAATTATTCAAGATTATATATAGCAAATGTGACTTCTGGCGGAACCACCCAAGGGTTTTTGATTGGAGTCGGCACATGTTATCACATGTTGTGATCTTCTGGGTGGCACTTTGCTCTAGTTTGCTCTCAACTAATTACGGTGTTGCCAATGCACCCTGCAGAGGCAGAACCTTAATTGGCATGCACGATTATGCTGATAATAGCCCTCAGCATCACCTGATTGGAGGGGAACTGGCTCGAATAGAATCATTCCTGAGTTTTAGCGCTGGATCCTGCACATAGGCAGAAAAGAAGAGCACGCTTCATATTATGAACTTCATATCACTGCATAGTTGTGACGTGGTGTGACCGTTCGCACATCGATGGAAGCAGCACTTGTGGAAGTCCTTCAGCATCTAGGCTTGGATCCTATGAGCTGGGACAGGCACATGGGGCATGGCACCCTGGCCAAACACAACGGGTTTAGGATGGTTTAGGCACCCGTTACTGGGTTCATTAATGTTCGTTAAGTTTGAGGTTCAAGAGGCCTGTGAAGTCTTTGATGCTGGTAAAGGCATTCATCCAAAATATGTTGGTTGAATTTCATTAAGTTTTATGCAGGTTACATCGAGTTAGTCGCATGAACAGCAAGCTCCTTCGCCATCCAGACCTGGCATCCATCACTAGGAGCACAGACCTCAGTCTTTGTAACCAGCTCCCCTTGGCAAAACCGCAGGACTATTTGGCGCGTTCCAATGTGCCTGAGAAGCTCGAAGCGGATTTGTTGGACCCATATTGCCCGTGCCTCAATCTCGGTCCGTGCACTTGGGGAACCGTGCCTAGTTTCAGGCTGTGACTGAGCGTGATCAGCCAATTGTTCACCCATAGATGTTCATACACTGCACATGAAGGCGGCCAGGTGTGCTGCGGGTGAGAAGGGTCCCGAAAAAGTATGAACAAGTGATTCCAGGTGATGGCTCAGTGCGTCTTTGCGTCACACGGCTGCTGGGCTTCATTGCAGGCTTGGAATCCAAGATAATCCAAGTTCGGAGGGAGGGGGCGAATGAAACTGAGAGGAGAAAAACTTGGGACGCATGCCATGAGCATCCAAAGCATCCCCCAAGCACCCCATCAGTCTAGGTCGTCTTAGTTGACCAGAACACCCACTGGCCCAATGGAACCCAAATTCTGAGCTTTGAGGTCGCAGCGCAACAGCGTCTGAGCTGTTGCTTCGAAGCCATGAGGTGGTCTTGATAGTTCTTGTTTTGTGTGGCATGGATGTACCAAGATCACAACAGCATTTTAAAACACCATACTCTGCTGACAGAGCGGAAGAGGGGCTGACAGATGTCGTATGGCTTCTCTCCCAACATCATATTCTATATTATTATATAAGTATATACATGTGTATACAGTATACATGATACGCGTACTGTATATTACTATGTGCATATGACATCATATGACATTACGCATGATTAATGTTTATCTAATTTTATCTACAGTATATGAACATGTGTGCATCTGTGTGTGTGGTGCTTTGGACATGCAAGGCTCCCTTTCCGCAATCCATCGCCGGTTTGCTGGACAGTGTTTGGCCAAGACTCCTTGTAGCCATCCGCTACACCATGAAAAGACGCAAATCTGAGCATGGCGAAAGGAGATCAGTGAGCTTGGTATGACAGTGTTCATATTCTATTTGCATAAGGAATATGTGATATGAGGGTAATTTGGATGCTCTCACTTTTGGCATTTGTTACATCTTTGTGCATTTCTTCTGTTGCAATAGTTCCTTTGGTTCTGGACACCTGCCCCAACTCTCCCAAGGTCGTGACATTACTTCAAGGCTTTGTGCCATCCATGCTTGGGCCGGCAGCTCAAAATCAGGCGTAGCATTGCTAAAATGTAGCTGATGAGTGCCGGTTATGTGATTAATTACAAATAGCATCAAATAGCTATTTTATATCAAGGACGATTATGATGTTTCGAGCTTCGTGATGTTGTGGAAATGTCTTGGGGTGGAACAAAGTGGAACGAACCTCGGTATGCGAAATGATGGTTCAGCACCTGAGGCCACATCAACCCTGCAGAATAAAGGACTTGTTTTTTTCTTGAAGCAGGGGAGCCCTATGGAGCCCTGCAGTTGCGGCATTCAACAGTTTGGATGGTAACATATGGTAACCTCGTTTCATCGGCCATTACCTCACGGTGATTCAGCTGGCCCCCATGGCCTGTGCTCAATCAGTTGAAGAAGTTTGAAGCTTCTTCAGGCTTGATGGACTTCATTGTATCATGAGGGCGACCTCTCCCATCATCTCCCATCCACCAAGAACGTGAAACTCTACTTTTAGATACTTTTAGGATCTTTTAGGGCCCCTAGCCTCTAGGGCTGTGCTCGATGAGGTGGAGGCCAATGCTCGAGGTGGAGACCTGAGGTTGCACAGCCAAACAGTCAGAAATAAGCTGTCTTTGACCACCAATGACTTGCAATGACCGTAGAATTCGTTAATGCTTTAGGTCTTGGTGTTCCACCTGTTGACCACTGACATTTGCAGTTGCAGTATGTTGCAGTTGCATATCACATAATGCACGCTGCTGGCAGTTTGCTTCTGGCAGTCATATTCTTATAGTACTCTTATCGAATCACTTGCTCCCTGACACACATTGCTCCATAGGTAGGTCACTTGCGTTTGACTTTGTTTGAAACTGGTGATTTTCCTGAAACTTCAATGGGTCGGTTATAATTTCTCATAGTAGACGATCTAAGTTCTGAAAACTATTGTCGATTCGTTGGAGTTTGAACTCGACAGAAATCAGCTCAAACCGTTCAAACCTGTATAAATCTTGCCTCGTATGCACGCACACACACACACACGAGCCCCATGGCACCTGTGGCTGTGGCAGGAGATGGTGTCGCTTCTGGGGGCCACCCAGAATGAGATCGCCAAGGGTGCCATGGATGCTTGGACCATCGTCTTGCAGGCCCGAATGCCCATGGCATCGCAGATCTTCAGCTGAAGATAGCTGAAGTATGAAGTATGAAGGATAATTAAAGATTAATTAACATGATTAAGATATGGTTAAGATGCTGAGGGCTACCATTTGAGTGAGCGTAAAATATATGTAGAATATGTTGAAATATGTTGAGTATGTTGGCCAACAGGCTAACATGTCACAAAATGAAAGACATAGAAACACTGGCGCAAACCCAGAAGGAGTTAGTTGTGGCGCGGTCCATTGTTCCAAGGCGCGGGCACCAGAAGATCAAGATGTTTGGAACTAAAGTTTGACGGATTTTGATGTGAAGCCAAGGAACGGAATGACTAAGGTGACACGTGCAAACATAATTGACATGCTTTGGCGATCCTTATCGAAATGTTGGGTGAACGTTTCAGCAGAATCCTGCGGCAACACATTTTGGAATACTGTCGGTCGCAGGGTTGGCTCCTGAACTCTCAGATGCACAGGAGGAGTCCCTGGTTATTCGGCCAAATGAAAATAATGAATAATCTCTGTATCTGAATGTGAATGCATTCAGTAGGGTATGTCGGTATGTATGTCTGAGGCTTAGACATGGCATGTCAGAAATGCTCCACAGCTGTTTCCATCAACGGAAGTCAAAGGCAGTTCTGCGCAGTGGAGTTTGGCTCCTGGAAGGTTGTTTACGCTTCATCGTTCGGTTTTTTTCGGCTATTGATCAAATGGTGATTCTTACTCCATGTTCTTTCTGTAATAGCTTGTCTTACCCTCCATTTCCTCACATAGTGGGTGGCGACAAAGTGGCACCACCCAGTGGCCCAGCCGGGCCCGACACATCGTTGCCATGGGATTTACCAAGACAGTTCATAAAGAAGCACCTGAGAACTACAAGCCGTACTACTTGCCCTTTGGCTCTGCTTGGCTACTGCGGGATGTGGGGTTGGAAGTCTTCTGAGATTCTAGGTGGTTGCCAACAGATGTGCTTTACAAGTTCAAACCTGTTGTTTTTATAATGTCCCAACTGTTCTACATGGAATGGAACACCCTCCCAGTGACGAGATGCGAAAATTACACAGATTGATTTGGAGGGTCTGTTATCCCCCAGCCACGGCTAGAAGCACGGCTCCAGCATTTCATTCTGGAGCAAATTCTTCAATACTGGCTTGATAAAATGATACTTTAAGTTTATTGTTGCACTCACTGTTTAAGAGGAAAGGTCCTTATCTTTTTAGGGAAGACCCAAGATGCCGGTTTTCAAAGGATGTTCTCAACGTATAGACCGTATATGACCGTATAAATTTAGTATCAACAAGTCATGTTTTCGTGCCGCGCACTGTGGGGGGCTGCAGGAAGTATGACGAGTTGAAGGAGCTCGTTCTGGACCTTGCAAGGGAAGAACCCTTGAAGAGGAGTCGTTTGATGAAGCTCGGCTGAAGTCCTCATGGGGTCAAATGCTGGAGTGCCCTGTATGAAGTCCAGAATTGTTACAAAGCTTATGGATATGGTATGATATGGTTATATATATATACTCGAAGTTTCTTGTTTATGGTATATAGATGTGGTTGATCCCATATTTCCCAAATGCGTAGCAAGGGTTCCCGTTTCACTCTGGGGGTCTGGGGGTTGAGGGTGTGTTCGCTCGACGTTGCGTTTGTGGTCGCAACCGTCCGCAACCGTTCGCAACCGTTCGCGCGAGGACCGTATGGCCGTGCCTATGGGAAGTTCTGCAGAGGTGGTCATTTTTGGAGGTTTCAGACGTGTCGTTGCTTCGTTTCGCGTGGCAGGCGTGGCACTTCGTGACATTCAGACGTGTTCTGGAACGTGTCGAAAGTCGTTTTGCGTGGCAGGCGCAATACTTTTGCGACGTTTTCAGAAGATGTGTTGCAGTTTTCGTGGCAGGCGCAACACTTTGGACGTGTCCATCGTCATTTTTCGTGGCAGGCGCAGCACTTTAGACGTGTCGTGTTGCGTGTTTTTTGTAAATCGCATTGGCAGGGCTGCGTCAAGTGGCGACAAGGTGCAAATTCCGTGGCAGGCGTGGCATTTTGTGCTATGTGCTGAAAATTGACGGAAGCCTCGCACGAAACATCGATTTTGAGGTTGCAAATTTTCAGGTTCTAAGGAAAACTCGTAGGAAAACGTCGATTTTGAAGCTACAAAGTGTGAAAATTCGAGGAAGTCTCGCACGAAATGCTCGTTTTGGTGTTTCCACCTGTCTCGTCTCGCATCATTGGTTTTGCGTGTGAGAATTTCATGCATCCCTATTTATCCAATTCTCAAATGGAAATACTTCCACTTTTGCTTTGACTACTACCCAACGGGTGTAGTCCAGACTACTACCCTCCGGGTGTAGTCTAGGAATCTTGAAGAACCTGCATCTGGGCCGGACCGAAGCCCTTTAGATGTCAAGTGGCACAAAGGTGCGTCAGCTGGCAGCGAGGTGGCTGCTTGGAGTTTTGGGGAAACTTGGTTTTGTTTTTTGGGTTGAAACATTATTTTTCCGGTTGGAGTCGAGATCTCAGTTGCTGTTCAGGGTTCCAGGACGGTTCACTATGGTTCACTTGTTGGCATTGGGAGGCTTCAGGAAACACAGGTTATGAGCCCAAGGAGCTTGTGTAAACCCCCAAAGACTTCTGACATGATGCGTAGACGTAGACCGGATGGCGGCGCTGTCGATGGATCTGGCGCTGAGCAGATGATGGCAGCTGGCGCTGAGCAGATGGCGGCAGCTGGCGCTGGGCAGATGGCAGCGGCTGGCGCGGTGCAAGCGGCGACAGCTGGTGATCGGGCGCTGAAGGCGATGCAGCACAGGCGCTTGGGGCGAGAGGAGATGCAGCTGAGAGAGGCCTGGAACTGGTTGGACAAGAACTTGTACCAGCTTCTCAAGCCTTGGCCTTGAGGACACCGGATGGGTTGGAGAAAGGGCGAGGGTCAGACGCTGCAAAGGGCTCTAGGTCACCAAGGGCAGCCACAGAACCAGTTAGCCAGGGTCAGAAGTCAAAGGAGGGTTCAGTCAGAGGCCAAAAAGGAACCCCAAAAGAAATAGAACCAGAGAAGCGTCAAGAGATGGCAACACCCAGTGGACAGCCAGTTTCACTAGGTCCCCATTCCTTTGTGACACCAGAGGGACAGGTCCAAAGTATGTTGCCACTTTTTTCACCAGAGCAGACGGTGAAACTTCATGAGATCCACCAGATGCCTTTTGCATCGCCTGCGGCTTCATGGAATGGTCCTGCGGTTGGAGAACATGGACACGGGGGAGCTGAGCGACAAGCAGTTCCAGGTTGGTTCACAGGGTTGCTTCAATCAGTAGGATCTCAGCAAGGTGAACATGAGGCGAGGCAAAGGGATTACATGTGGAGAATGCAAGTTGAGCATGGCATAGAACATCTAGGGGTTCAGTTGCGTGCGGCACAGCATGAAAACCAAAGACTTCGTCAAGAGCGTCAAGAGTTGTTGGAAGCCTTGGAAAAGAAGGGATCGTCGAGGTTTACCACACCAGATGACAAAGCAGCCAACATGTTAAAAAAGGAGGAAGGGGCAGAGTCCCGGCAAGAAAGACCTTCCAAGGAGGAAGGGGCAGGTGCCCGGCAAGGAACACCTTCTAAGGAGGAAGGGGCAGAGGCCCGGCAAGACAGATCTTCTCAGGAGGATGGGGCAGAAGCCCGGCAAGAACAGTCAGAGAGCGATTCGTCTTCTGAGGAGCCGCAAAGAGCAAGCAGGCCAAAGGAGAGCGTTGACAAGCAGTCCATGAGGATCATGCTCAAGTTGATGGAGGGCATGCAGGAGCTTCAGAAACAGATTGTGATCTCCAAGGAGGAAGGAAAAGGTGATGAGATTGAAGTGGTGCGCTATGTGGCGGATCTCCCAAAACTTGCTGAATGGAATCCGGAGACGGCGCCCATCGATTTTGGTGATTGGGTGATTTGTCTGCATCCTCATATGGCAGACTTGAGCTCAACGAGTGAGATGTGGTGGGACTTGACCCTCTCAACAGCGAGGACTTGGTATGATCACCACATGAAGCTATCGCCAATTGAGAGGTTGACGAGCACACCAAGGCCTACACCAGAGTTGCAGCAGAAGAAGTGGTCCCGGCTGGAAAGAAGGGCTTCGTCCTTGCTCTTGAATGCGTTGCCGCAGACGATGAAAGAGGAGGTGAATTGCGGCGAAGTCCATCACAGCTTTGGGCATTTTGTCTCGTGCGATGCTGCAGTTTCAACCTGGAGGGCTGACAGAGAGAAGCGCTATTTTGACGGCGCTGGAAGCACCTATGGAAGCTGCAACCGTGGGTTCAGCCATCCAACAGCTGAGACGTTGGATGAGATGGAAGCGCCGGGCCCTTGAAGTTGGAGTTTCAATTCCAGACAGTTCAATTTTGATGAAGGGATTGGGACGTTTGGTGAGGAAAATTGTTTCCAGTTACCCAGATCTCAACTTCCGCTTGTCGTTGGTCAAGAGCTCATTGTTGGTGGAGACAGTTCCAACGTTGGAGACAGTGACTCAGTACAGCGAACACCTTCTTGCAGAGCTGGAGCAGATGGGACAGCAGGCAAAAACTTGCTGGCTGTTAAGCAGGAACAGGGGAACCATGGAAAATGATGACGATCATGAACTTCCATTCATGGACTCATAGAATCCATGGTGATAACTTTAACAATTTAAAAACTGGGGTAGGCGCCACCAGGCTTAGTGGGCGCAACTCTGGTGCACATTGCAGATCATCAAAGGGATCAATTGAAACAATGGCAGTGTACATGAAAGGGTTGCATGGAAGGGTGGTATCAGATAAACCTTACTCGATGAAACAGTGCCTATAGATCTTAACAAAGTGCATTGCAAAAAATGAAAGTTTGCAAAGGAAGCCATGAAAACAACATCGATAGATATGGAAGACGTCCATCGAAATCATTGTGGCGACATGCGACAAGCATCAACAAGCATTGATGGAAACACTGATGCATGCCGAGATCATTCGTCATCATGGAGCTGGGTGCTGATAGTTACTTGCTGATCAGCAAGGATGCAAAGCCTGACAGGGTCTAATCTTGTTTAAGCTGCTGGTCAGCAGCAGGGAACCCTTGCTGAACAGCAAGGGTTTTCGTTGACCAACAAAGGTTTAAACGCTTTTGGTTTAAGCACTTATTGAAGTTTCTGCTGCTGGACGGCTGCACGGTTTTAAAAAAGTCGCTGTCTAACCTGGCTTAAGCTGCTGGTCAGCAACAGGGGACCCTTGCTGAACAGCAAGGTTCTTGTTGGCCATTAATGGCTACGATGTTTGTGATTCATATGGTTGCCTATTGAAGTTTCTGCTGCTGGACAGCTGCAGGAAACCGTTGCTAAAAAGGAAGGCTGCTGTTGGCCAACGGTGCTTCTAAGTTTTCCATCGCTGGACAGCTGCAAGTTTCAAAAGGATGCGGTTGGCTAGCAAGATTCTAGCTGAACCTTGCTACTGCGCAGCAGCAAAAAGTTAACTGGCGCCAGCCATTTATCCCATGCCTGAACCATAAGATCATCAGTTGGCCAGCAACTGCCTGGAAACTTGCTGTTCAGCAAGGGTTCCCTGCTGCTGGTCAGCAGCTTAAACAAGATTAGACGGTTGCTGGCCAGCAAAATTCCAGCTGAACCCTGCTGCTGCACAGCAGCAGACAGTTAGTGTCACCAGCCACTTATACCATGATTGAACCATAAGATCATTAGTTGCCCAACAACTGCCTTGAAACTTGCCGTTCAGCAAGGGTTCCCTGCTGCTGACCAGCAGCTTAAGTTAGGATAGGCACTTGCACGTCAACAGACTTCTAGCTGAACCCTGCTGCTGTGCTTCAGCATTAAAAACCATTGTCACTGAAACCTGCTGCTCAGCAAAGGAATCCTGCTGCTGGCCAGCAGCTGAAATTTTCGCATGCAATGAATTCAAAACGTGCTTAATGTTGATAAGTCTGCATTGTGGGCGCACGAGGTGCGCAATTTGATGAAAAAAAAAAGGCACTTGGCAGCCACTTGCTCCAGCAGCCACTTGGCAGCCACTTGCTGCAGCCACTTGCTGCAGCCACTTGGGGCAAGTGTCTGCGAGTGGCTGCAAGTGGCTGCAAGTGGCTGCTTGAGCAAGTGGCTGCTTGAGCAAGTGGCTGCCAAATGGCTGCCAAGTAGCTGCAAGTGGCTGCAAGTGGCTGTTGAGCAAGTGACAATACGACTAACAAGTGGCAATTTTCCTTTGTATTGGTATTGGGCTTAAAGATATTGTCCATAATGTCCCCCCCGGTGTGATAGACAGTCCCGGGCTATGCGACATAGACCTTGCAAAAACATGCAAAAACAACTCTAAACAAGAACAGCAACAACAACAAGAAGAAGAACAAGAAGAAGAAGAAGACAAAGAACAAGAACGAATAGAACAAGGAGAGCAATGAGAACAAGGAGA